GAGCTCCAACCAGTGCTGCTCGGATGTCCAGGCCTAGGGACTGTGGGGAGAAGACAGAAAAGAGGGAGAGAAGGGAGAAACTTTCCAGGCCAAGCTTCAGCCAGGCGCTGCACGTCCGTGGACATGTAGTTCACCACCTCGCCCACCGTGTGCCGCTACCTCGCCTGGCTCGATAGACGTAGGCCTTTGTGAAACAGGGCTCCAACCAGTGCTGCCCTCATCTCCAGCCCTAGGGACTGTGTGGGGAGAAGACAGAGGGGAGGGAGACAGAACCAGCTGAACTCAAGAGTCCGCACCTAGGCTGTATTCGGTGTTCTTTTGAGTCGACTCAAAAGCAATTGTATTAGGTTTTTGAGAATTCTAAAAAACCTAGCCAAGTCTAGGCCCTAGGGTGTGTGTGGAGAGGACAGAGGAGATGGAAATACAACCAAGTGAGATAGAACCAGCTGAAATCAAGAGTTCGCAGCAAATGTTTGCACACATGAGTCTCCTGCACCTCCTGCTCAGGGCAGCAGCACATCAGTGCACATGTACCTGAACATCTCGGCCAGCCACCATGTGCTGCTGCTGCTGCTGCTGCTGCTTCGCCCTGCTGGGCAGTGCAGTCGCAGGCCGTCCCTTCCAACTCTCAGATCACTGCTTCCGAACGAGCCCCAACCAATGCGACTTTTTAGAATTCTCAAAAATCATCTTCCCTTCAACTCTCAGACTACTGCTTCAGAACGAGCCTCCACCAATGAGTGGCTACAAAACCACAAACCTCACCTGGGCTAGGAGTTGTACTGGCGGCCCACAGCCGTCTCGATGGCCTTGGCCAGCAGCAGCACCACCGCCACCAGCACCAGACCCTGCCCCTTCAAACCGCCCATTCCCCGCAGCGAAGTCCACGAATCAGGACAGCAGCAGCGGGCCCGCGTACATGACGGCCGCCTTGAGCAGGATGAGGAGCCCCGTGCCGAGCAGAGAGTTTCCAACCACCGTACGAGAACCCCAAACCCCCATTTGGGCCAGAAAACAACAACCCTCACCTGCGCTTGAAAGTTGTACTGGTGCCCTACTGGCGTCTCTGTGGCGTTGGCCAGTAGCAGCACCGCCACGAGCACCAGACCCTCCCCTTCAAACCGCCCATTGCCCGCAGCGAGGTCCAGGAATCTAGACAGCAGCAGCGGGCCCGCGTACATGACTGCCCCCTTGAGCAGGATGAGAACGCCTGTGACGAGCAGAGATCTTCCGACCACCATATATACAGGCACCCTCACTTCTTAGGCTTACAAACAACTCTTACCTGGGCTTGAAAGTTGTACTGGTGCCCCACAGCCGTCTCTGTCGCTTTAGCCAGCAGCAGCACCGCCACGAGCACCAGACCCTCCCCTTCAAACTGTCCTTTCCCCGCAGCGAGGTCCACAAATCTAGACAGAAGCAGGGGGCCGGCATACATGACTGCCGCCTTGAGCAGGATGAGCAGGCCCGTGAAAAGCAGGGGACGCCAGAAGCAGGCGAGCAGCGCTCGGGCCACAGAGGGCTTCGTGGGGGCGGTGAAGCGGGAGAGCATGGCAGGGGACTGTTGCTGCTGCTGCTGCTGCTGCAGTTGCGGTTGCTCGTGCCCCTGCTGCTGGTCATGGGTGGCTAACAGCGGAGTCGTCACGGTAGCCTCAGCACTACCAGCAGCAGCACCAGCAGAAATGCTACCAGCGGCAGCATTACTACCAGCACCAGCAGCAGCAGCAGCAGCAGCAGTAGTACCCCCAGCAGCCAGAGCGAGCTGCGTCTGCCAGCAGGCATCAAAGGCACGGAACATGGCATCGCAGCCGTGAGAAGGTGGCCGGCACAGCACGTCCTGTAGTGAGATCAGATGCTGCTTCTGATCTCTTGGGACCTCCTCCTTCTCCTCCTGCCACTGCTCCTGCTCCTGCTGCTGCTGTTGCTGCTGAAGCTGCAGATTCTGGTTGCCTGTGTCCAGAAGAGGAGATATCCAGGAGAAAGAGAGACGAGACAGCCAGCTTGCAGTGGCGTACGGAGACACAGTGGCCACCACCACTGCCTGCTGCTGCTGCCCCTGCTGCTGCCCCAGCTGCGGTTGATGCATATTCCTGACTCCCAGTTCGCTATCCGGTTTCAATTCCTCCCCGCCATCCTCACTAGTATCAGAATCGTTGTCCTCATCAGAGTCGCTTTCATCTCCGATTGTAAGGCAAGCTCTCCCCTTCACAACCAGCCTACTCCTCAAACCCTCCTCAAAACCACCCTCGCCCTCCTCCTGCTGCTCCTCCTCCCCATCACCCTCGCCCTCCTCTTCCCTCCCTTCGCCTCCTCTCTCTCCTCCTCTCGCTCCCATCCGTCGGTCCAGACGAGCCCAACCAGGCCTGCCAAGCACTCCAACCACCCCCAAGAAAACAGCCAATGGCAAGCTGCCAAGTGTCAGGAAATCGCTCCACGCAGTCACCCTCTCCTCGTTCCAATCTCGAATTCCAGACCCCAAACCACCTCCCGAACCAAATCCCAAACCAGCTCCCAAACCAGATCCAACGCCAGATCCCTCCCCCAAGCCCCTCCCTTGGCCTTTGCTCCAGAGCCGGAGCAGAATGACCATAGAGAGCATCAGCACAAGCACAGCGTTCAAGAACAGCCACACCCGCGCCGACCCCACCACTGTAGCGTCCCGCCTCCTCTGGAACAGCAGCAGCACGCTTGCCACCAGCGCATACGTGACGGTCTGCCCTGCCGCGTATGCTAGCTCGTGGGGCGGTGCTAGACTGTGGGGAGGTGCTGGATGCGTCCGGAAGCCAGGTAAAATCTCCCACAGGAGAAGCCCAGTCCAGCAGGCAGCTGCAATGATAGAGAGGACGAGCGCAGGCCAGAATAACAGTCCTGCACGCCACTCCTCCCCTCCCTTCTGCTCCCTTCCCCCACAACTTTCCTGCACTCCCCTCTCTCCCCTCCCCCCCGTACCTGCTGACCTCTCCGTACCATTCTGGGCTCTACGGGGCTGGGAGTCAGGCTTGGAGCTAGGTTCGGGATTAGGTTTGGGAAGGATCAGAATGTGGGAGAGGGTTGCGAGGAGGAGGAAGGAGGAGAGGAAGAGGAAGGAGGCATGCTGGAGGCACGGGGAGAGGGAGAAGATGTGGATCCACTTGGGCAGAAATCTTTCCTCTCCTGCCCGTTGGAAAAAAACTGAGATTTGCTCAAGGGAGCTCCAGGGGAGGGGAGAGGACGGGTGGAGGTGCGAGGGAAAAGTATCCGGGAGAAACGGATGGAGCTGATGGTGCTGATGTGGCATCAGGAGGTGGTGCCACGTGGAATTGGTGAACGCAGGTGGGAATAAAGACGACGGGAAGGGATAAATGGAGGGAGAGGAGGAAGAGAACGAAGAGGAGGAGGAATTTGGGAAGTGGTTAGCTTGAGAGGGTGCAAGACCCGATGGTGATTCTGATGATGTCATGCGAGACTGTGTGACATCATGCAATCGACTGAGTGGCTGGTTGTGACTGAAGAGGAGGTTTCCGCTAATACAGGCTGGACTGTATGGGTCGTTGGGGCCGCAAAAGGCGGCCCAAAAAGCTGCAAAACGAAGGACAGTTCAAAGTATGGGGGGAAAGGATGGGGGGGGAAGGACGAGGGGAAAGGATGGGGGAAAAGGATGGGGAAGGAAGGAAGGGGGGGGTGAGAAAATGGGGACTGGGGGTTCTGTTCCAGGAAGGGGGTGGGAAGGGTAGCGCGGGGAGTTGACTGACGGGGGTATTTGTGTGACAATGAAGTTCAGACCTCCTGCATGATGCCTGTCAAACCATCGTCATACCAAAATCATACGCCTGGGATTGCACATGCACAACTGATCCAAAAACATATCGGTGGAATGGTAAGAAAAGAATCTCACATTCATTTGCGGTCCAGCCAGGGCCAGTGGCCATGGAGAAGACAAGAGAGGTGACAAGGATGTGAGCACCGACCAGGATGTTTTTTCCAGCAGCAGCAGCAGCAGCAGCAGCAGGTGCGATTGCCATCTGGAGGAGGGTTTTATGACAGGACATTAGTCTCGACAAATTGAGGCTTCGAATCTCTTTAGTTGCAACTGTTGAAACGCACAAACAAATCTGAGTATCTCACCTTATGAAACAATTATCCGGGTATGGCGCTTTAATTTCAATAGATTCCTAACTATCTCTCCTGTAATATATCTTGTATGCTTCTGAATGAACCAGTGTGAAGGAATCTAGCACGGAAGAGAGTCAGTCCTCAGTTCTATTACAGAATTCAATCAGCTACCTTAAGACCATGCCTAATAGAGCAGCCCGCGGGTCGCTTACTGATCACTAAAATTAGGCTGACTCACAAATCTGCAGCCCAAGAACGTCCAAGGACGTACAAAAAGCACTCAAACTGGACTGGTCACAGATGTAAAGAAGACGTGCTTTGACATAAAGCGCTCAAACTGGATCTCCGTCTCTCGATCCTACCAGCTCTAACGCCTGGCATTCCACGGTGGCGTTAACCTACGACAGTGCTAAGCTAGCCCTATTGTGCCTCCTGTCCGTCCAACCATGGCTTCTTGGTTCAGGAAAGCCCATGGACTGTCAGTCACTGATGAAATCTCGGTGGAGGTTGAAGCTAGCATTTTTTTTCCGCGCGTGTTCTGTGCCAGAATGCGCTGGCTCAGGCGATGAACCACATTTTGCGACGCTCACGTCACGAAGCTAGCGAGCTTCGTGCTGAGAAAGAGCGCCCACGCGATTTTCGAGAACCATAGTAACCTGGAAAAATTGGTCACATATTGATTTCGCGGCTGGCTGTTCTCGTCCATGTTTGTGGCTCACGCTGAGTGGCTCCTTCAGCGTTGGAGAGGCTCAATCACTGATCGACACGCTGGCATACTTAACGTGGCGTTGTTTGGTCTGGGTGCGGCCGTAGGTTGGCGCGGTGTCTGGATGTGGGGTGTGGTTGAGGTGGGTGTGGGGACCGCACTGTACCTCTGTTGAGTGGAGACAAGCCAAAGTTCTCTTTAGATTGCTACACTCCTTGAGTCAAAACAACAAATTATTAGAGGGTACCTATAATTTGGACTATGAACCCTAAAATTATCATTTGTGTGGCACTTGCCTAGCAAGGCAGTCAAACTGGAACCCCTGTCTTCCCAATCCACGAGTTCAGCGAGAGGAAGTTATTCGGGGAGTACTTGCTGACTTGTGATAGTGAAGAAACCACGCCAGGTCGCGCCCACGACACCCTGGATGACTGGACACCAGCTCCCTTGCTTCCATACTCCGCTAAGAAGGGCTTCCCACCGAATGTCTCATCGACCTTCCAGGGCATCCACCCGTTCTTGTTTACCTTCTGCAAAATCAAACAAAAAATGTGAGGGATGGCAAGAGAGACTGATTTTGGTCGAAGACATTGGGAAGGGGCAGAGGGGAGAGGTCAAGAGCAGGTCAAAGTCAAAATCACTGAAGAGCAGAACAGCAGTAGCAAGCAAGGTCCCACTCACCGTCGGCAGCACAGTGTTGATAAAGACCATGGCAGCATAGTCCTTCCACGGCCGGCCCAGGTACACATCGCCATAGTCACCATTCACTTTACTGTCAACCACCACAATCCCACACAGCGCCCCGGACTGGTAACACCCAGAGGCCAGAACCGTTGTCGTCCAAGTCGGCGATTTAAGCACATTGAGTGTAGATGACTGCACCACCGCAGCTCCGTAACCAAAAACGAAGTCCACCGTGCCCTCAATAATGCAGTTTTTTATGTAGTGACGGCCCGTGGAGCAGAAGAGTGTATCTTGGTAACCAGTAACCTTGACCTGGTACAGTGCAGCCTGGTCAGAATCCAAGCGCAGGGCCACGGCTTGGAGCCCCGAGGGGCCAGCAGTGTTGCGAATGGTCATGTACATTGCGACGAAATTGTTACCATTCACGCCTGTGTGGGGTTACAGGGGGGGAAACGCGAGATTTGGAGCCTGTGAGTGAGTAGAGCCACGGATCAGGAGAGGACGGAAGTAGGGAGCGTGAGAGTGAAGAGCAGGGGAGAGAGGGCAGTAGAGGGAAGCGCCTAGTTGAAAATGACAAGATTGGTAAGTGAAAGAGCAAGTGTTGCTGGCTTTTAGTGTTGCTGGTTCGAGTACTACTCACCGATAGTAGCTGATGTGATGATGTCGTAGCCTGATGAGTAGCTGGCGGATCCAGTAACAATCGTCTTGTCAATGCCATCCCCGAGAAGCGTGATCCCCTTCTTGTATATAGTCACCATTTCGTTGTACACTCCCGCCTTGATATAAATCACGGTATTGTCCGGCACCGAGTTGATAGCATCCTGAATCTTCTTAAAATCGCCGCTGCCATCCAGAGCGACCGTCTTATCCGCCTTAGTAGACGCCGCTCGGACTGCTCTGTACCCGGTACTAGGCGCGCGAATAGGCGCCTTCACGGGACTCTTAGCGGGGCTCTTGGCAGGGCTCTTATCGGGGCTCTTAGCGGGGCTCTTGGCGGGACTTTTAGCGGGGCTCTTAGGCGGGCTCTTAGTGGTGGTTTGACTGGCCTGGGCATTGCCGCTCTTGATCGTCCCGGACGTCTGCTTGCCTGGGCTGGAGTGTCCGCCCTTTCCTGCCGAGTGGTGCCCCTTATTCGGTTCATACCTCCCCACGTTCTTCCCTCCCTTACCGCCCACTCCCGGGGGGTGGTGGCCCACCGGCCTCCCTTTCACGTCAACCTTCGCTTTCGGCGTCGGCTTGTCTGATTTTCCCCCGTTATTGGAACTCGTGAGCTGGGCTTGGAACACCTCGGCAAGCGATTGGTGCTGGTCGACGGCGTCGCTACGTGGCTGGTTCAGATTGGTCGAGAGGGCAGCGGCGAAGGCGCGCTCGACTCGTAAGTTTTTAAGCTCTGCCAGAACGGCTCTGACCGTCTGAAGACCGTCCGCCAAGGCGACGGCGGCCGTCTGGAGTTGACGGACCGTCTTGTCGCTGACGGTTTGAAAATTCGCCTGCAAGGCAATCTCGAGGTAGTTCGCGCTCGTCTGCGCAAATCCGACGGCTGCGATCGCTTCGTTGAGCTCCTTGCGGTCGAGATTGTCCGGGCCCCCTCGCACGGCGTCGGCGAGATTGGTGGCGGCAGAATCGAGGTTCTTCACGATGAGAGACGCCTGAGGAGGAAGGGAGGGAGGGGAGACGGAAGAGACGGAAGGAAGCCGACGAAGGAAAAATATAAACAACAAGTATCAGCCCCAGTAGTAGCATGTCCTGAGCGTGAGTCAGCAGCTGCTTCAGAACACTCACAAGAACTCAACATCTCTCCAGTCTGCCCAAAAGTCGATGAGTTAATGGGTTCAAACTGTACCTCCGTCAAAACCCCACGAAAGGCGATGGTATCTCTGTCCCCATACTTGACGGCAAAAATCTGGTCGCTCAGCGCCGACGCCTTGCCTGCCACGTCCGCTAGCAGCTCGACTGCCGCTGTCGTCGGGCTTGTAGCGAGGCTCCTTCTATCGGGGAGCGAGGCTGCTTGTAGCGGGGATCGATCGGCGAAGGAAGGTCTTCTGGCCTCCCTGACTCTGGCGAGGCCTTGTGCCGAGAGGCCAATAGCGAGGATGGACGGAAGGATGGTTGATAGCGAAGCCAGAAACAGGATCAGAGACCTGAGTTGTTGAACCCGCGACGCCATTTCAGGAGTAGGGAAAGAGCCGGAAGGGGAATTGTGACTTTTGAGTCGACTCGAAGTCACCTCGGAAGGGGAATTGTGGGAACGCGGTACGGCGGACGACGCGTATGATTCACCCTGTCAGTCCAAATGTTCCTCAGGCGTCTCGATTGTTGAAATTTAAGATCGTCTAAACCTGGCCATAGTCAGAAGGACGAGAGTTTGGCGTGAATCAGGTAAGACTTAGGTGGAAAGGGCCCGGTTCGTTGGAGCAAACTGGTCTTGGCTCGGGGAGCAGGAGCAGACACGAGTTCGATGGCTCCTGTGACCAATCGAGAACCGACCTGCTACTACGACGTTCGCGTTAACAAGACAGCAATGCAAGAAACCGTCCAGAAGGAATGCAGAAATTTCAGCCTCCGCCTTTGCATTTGACGTTGGCCGCATCTCACGGCAGCCTTGGGATTAGCAGCACCTACGGCGCCAAGGGCAGGGCCAGAAGTGCAGCCCTTTTGGCACACTCGGAAGAGGAGTATTTTCTCCGGGAACTGCGGCCGGGAGACTTGAAGGCGGACCTTGGGGGGTGATGGGAAATGGCGCCGACATGGTCACGATGAAACGAATGCGGGAAGTTGGAGCGTAGGGAATTCCGAACCGTGACGGGACGGAACGAAAAGGGCTAACAGTGACCTGACCAATCAGAAGTATGGATTGCTTTCAATGGATGGTTGGATTTCGACAAAGGTGATTGAGTGGACGGTCCGATGGAGTGCTGGTTGGGGTGGGGGCTTGGGGCTGTTTGGGTGGTGTGGACGTGATTGGGGACAAGCGGCCCGCACGAGATTGGTTGGCGATTTGACGTTTGTGGAAATTGCGGTTCGTTCGGAAGCAGGCGGGAAGATCATCCGTTGATTGTCCCACTCACGCCAAGGCCCGATCAATCAAGGCTATGAAACTCACGGAAACGGACATCCGCGCATTCATATGATGTCCATGTTACAGGAAGCTCCGTTTCTATTTCAGAGGACCGCATACAAGAGGCCATGATACTTTCGCATGCATACATAGTTTTTTATTTTACATTGGACAACTAGGACCACAGAATCTGAGTTTCCATCACTCACAGAGAGCCACGTCACACAATGACGCAAGCGCCCCTCACGCCAAGCTGGAAGCTCCTCTGCCCAGCAACAGGATGTAAGCACTGGATTGGCTGACCAGCACTGATCGAATCAGACGCTCTCGAGTCCAGGCTCCTCGGAATTGGTTCATGTTCAGTGCCCTCTTGCCGCACTCAGCCAATCGCAAGCCGCTAAAGTGTGCCCCAACTTTTTGAGTGAGGGATTGACGGAGTTTAGTTCAGTTCAGACAGAAAGGAAGAGATTAACTCTGACATAGTAACTCGAGTACAGCACAGCCACTCTCACTGGAATTAGGGTGTATGCTTGTTGGAACAAGCATTCTAGATTACACCCGAATCCAAGGCCAGTCGGATAGTTTCTTCTTGTTACGTGCAGTTCACTCAGTTCGTACTGGCTACACTTCCGCGATTCAAAAGTCGGGATCCATTTGACTAAACATCTACGCATTCCTTCAGCTTACCTGGCTAGCACCGCGAGAAATCCGACAGCGAGCTTGTCTAAAAAAAAACGATCCGTCGACATTCGGCCCAGACGTCCGTCAACATGCAAGTGTCACCTCCACAGCGGCTAATGCACGCCCCGCATTCTGCGGCCGTCGACCGCATGTGCTCGCGAATCCGTTCCAGATTCACAGGAGGCATTCCCGTAGCGCCAGGAGCAGGGCCTGCTGTAGTAAGCGCAGCCGCCGGGAACGCATCGGTTGGAAACGTAGCAGGAGACAGATTAGCAGGAGCAGCAGGAAGAGCAGGAGGAGCAGGAGGAGCGTTGATTGGCCGGCCAGCTCCCGCGCGGTTGCTAGTGGAGTGTAGGCGGGGTAGGTCGTCGCATCACGACAGAGACAGAGGGGGGAATAGAGAGAGAGGCGGGAATGGGGACTCCGGGAGGGGCGGGTATGGCGACAAGAGGAAGAGCGGACCTCTAGGTGCGGGTGGCGATAAGGCTGACGTGGCACAGCACCCGTACGCAATAAAGATAACCACTCCGCCAGCTAGAGAGTTGGGGATCCATTGCCTGCCTCAGGTGAGTTTGTAACGAGGATAGCTCGGAGGTTGGACGTGAGAGAAGAGACAAACACCTGAGTTTTCGTCAACTTTCAAGGGTTAGTCCTCTTGTCCTGTCCTCTCTATAATTTGTAATGCACATACTGCGTTCGATCAACAGGAAGAGGCGAGACGTTTCAGTGTTGTGCCCACTCTCTCCCAGTCTACCTCCCCCACCCATCCTCCTCCATCCCCACCCATGCCCACCCATGCCCACCCATGCCCACCCATGCCCACCCATGCCCTCCCATGCCCACCCATGCCCACCCATGCCCACCCATGCCCACCCATGCCCTCCCATGCCCTCCCATGCCCACCCATGCCCACCCATGCCCTCCCATGCCCAACCATGCCCTTCTCTCCCTGGCTAGTCTCGCTCCCCTCCCCGACCATCCATTCTTCCAACCTGCTCACATTATCCTTCAAAACACGCAGTGTGGACAGTGCAATGAGTGCTGAAAATGCTAAACCCGCATCCCCTCCCTTCCCCCTCCCCTTCCCACCCCCCTCCCCCCGTTTCCCCGTGCATTCAGTACGCCAGAACACTCAACGCGGAGAAACTGTCGAGATCGAGGGCGAGGGGGTACTTGGTATGGGAGTAACGTCCCCACTTTTGAGTCGACTCAAAAGTCACCTCAAAATATGCTCTCGCTCCGCCTCTCCCGTCAAATGCTCCTCTTCTCTCTCCAGAACACTCAATGCGGCGAAACTGTGGAGATCAAGGGCGAGAGCTCTCTTCTTCCCCACCCCATTCATCATACCTGTTTCCCTCAGCGTTTCATACCTTTTTCCCATTCATCTATTTTTCCCCATGGTTCTCCCCTGTTCTCTCCAGAACACGCAATGCGGCGAGACAGTGGAGATTGAGGGTGAAAGCTACGTGGTGCTGGGGGTGACGTACCGGTACAGGCTGCAGAAAGGCAAGTATACAGCCAGGGAGCGACAGCTGGAGGTGCAATCCCGAGGCAGGTTCCTTGTTAATATGTACCTCGCCGACATGCTGGACAAGTCTTGAAACCAGTCGGTTTTTTAGGCGGGTTCCTGGACAGCTCGAAAGATGGCAGGGCAGGTCCGTGACAAGGGGGTTGACAGTTGGAGAAACAGTATTGAGGCGGACATCTGGTTAACCTCTGCACTATTGACATGCTGGACAGGTCGTAAGGTGCCAGGGCTTGTATAGCTGAGTGCCAGGCTGCAAAAAGGGCGGGTGTACATTTGAATGAGCGGTGCCGGTGATATGTCTTAGAAACTTGGGACTAAAGGTTCTTAAACTTAGGAGGCTAGGTTGGCTAGGTTACTAGGAAGAAGACCGCCATGGAATGGCGTGAGGAAAAACGGATCTAGGAGGTGAGAGGATGTCGAGAAGAAAGGTGTGGATTAGGAAGAGAGGGGAGTACAAGGAGGGGTTTGTACCCCCTACAGAAAGGTTCAGTAACAACCTACCAAGCCTATATTAAATTATAACTTATATAATTTTGACACACCCCCTAGGCTTGGTAGTCACACACCCACCCAACCCACCCCCTAACCCCGCACACCCTCAAGCTCGTGCTTAGCCGGGTATCTGACCCTCGTGCAAAGCGTTGACACACCCCCGTACACGAGGCAGCCTACGGCGTCTGGGCGGGTCAGCGTCAAGCAGCAGCGGAGCTCTGGCTCAAGGCGGCTGAGTCGCTGACGACAGGCGGCGACTGCCGCGGCTGAGGGCTCTCGGCGGTGTGGCAACGTCCGGGCAGAAGACAGCAGCTGCGACAGGAGGAAGGGAAGACGCAGGGGGAAGGGAGAATGGGGGAAAGCGGGGCGAGTCTTCAGCGACGCGCCATAAATGGCACGGCGCTTACTGGCGGGAGGACGGCGTCCAGAGGGACGCCCGTGGCTGGCGAGCGGGCGGCAGGTCCGGCTGCGTCACAGACGTCGCTCGGTCGGCCGCAGTCCGACAATGCCAGCGGCTGCCCTAGACGCCGCCACAGCGCACCGTCAATGCCGCAGCGGCGAGGCGGACGGGCGACGGCTGCACCAAGGGGCCGTCGCGACACCTTGGCGCCGCGACGGCAGGCAACAAGGGGCCGTCGCGACACCTTGGCGCCGCGACGGTAGGCAACGAGGGACCGTCGCGACATCTTGGTGCCGCGACGGCAGGCACCAAGGGGCCGTCGCGACATCCTGGCGCCGCGACGCGACGGCAGGCTGGCAGAAAACCGCGAAGGCTGCGAATGCAGTAGGAGTACGCAACGGGAACGTAGGGAGAGGGTCCGGTGGACACGACCGGCTCTGATACCATCTTAGAAACTTGGGACTAAAGGTTCTTAAACTTAGGAGGCTAGGTTGGCTAGGTTACTAGGAAGAAGACCGCCATGGAATGGCGTGAGGAAAAACGGATCTAGGAGGTGAGAGGATGTCGAGAAGAAAGGTGTGGATTAGGAAGAGAGGGGAGTACAAGGAGGGGTTTGTACCCCCTACAGAAAGGTTCAGTAACAACCTACCAAGCCTATATTAAATTATAACTTATATAATTTTGACAATATGCTCTGACTGCACCGCTCAAGTCGTCGCTTTTTAGGTGCCACCAGCAAAGTCCAGTCACGAGGAACATGCCCCACCGCTGTGCCTTTGTGATCGTCACTGGTGCAGAGGCTCCTGCCTATTATTGTGTCCTAACCAGAGCAAGTCCTCTCTTTCTCAGACAAACGTCACATCATGTAATCAGCTTATGGGAAGGATAAACCAGAGAGATAGCCCAATATAGACTCCAATAGTAAACCGCAAACTATAGCGCATGAATTGCTGTAGGACCAGCTACAGCACCGCAAGTATCTTTACACGCTACCTACCTATGCCTGGTCATTCTACATGCTGGCTGGAACATTGCAGATGCAACCCTTCTCTAGGCTACTACCTTAGAAATGCGTCAGTCATGGCTGTTGTTGCATCTGTAATGTTCCTACCACCATCATCCCTATAAAGCTACGGAACTTAGAACTTCCCACCAATCATCTTTCCTGAAAGCACACCATCACGCCCAGAGGACCCCAGGTACAGGTTGTCATTCGTGATCTCCTGGAGGGACGCCAGCACATCCGCCACGTCAGCAGCCGACACGCTCACAACATTGGCCAGGGACCAGGATGCAGCGCTCATGAGCTGCCATGTGCCAGGAAGGCTCAGCGCCACGGTGGCGTCGGTGCTGCTGCAGGGGCTGCCCTTGTAGATGGCCTGGGTCTGAGGAGCCTCGCTGATGCCCGCTGCGTAGAGGTAGTAGGAGACAATGTAGCTGGAGCCACTGCAGTGGGGGAAGGGAGGGCAGGGAGATGTGAGGGAAAAGTAGTTAGTGAGCTGCAGGGGGAGAAGACAGGGGCCAGTGTAACACGAGAGCAGAGACCGTGTTGTGACAAGTGACGAATAGCAGACAGGACATGTGAGAAGTTGAATGCCCGAGTCAGATTTAAAACTTACAAATGTGTTGGGAAGGGGGGGGGGGGGGAGGGGGGGTGGGGGGGAGGGAATGGGCTAGGGTTTCTTACGTCTTGAGGATCTGGACGTTGGCGGCGCCAGCCTGAAGGGTCTGCAGTCCGTTGCACGAAGTGAGCGCCCCCCGCAGCATGCCCTCCTGCTGGGGCAGCAGGCTCGCAGCACCCGACGCCAGGCTGCCGTTCAAAACGGCGTTGAGAGCATCGCTGACAGTGCTGCTAGCAGCGCCGCTAAGAGTCGCGTTAAGAGCGCCGTTGATCACGCTGTAGAGAGCGCGTGTGACGGCCGACACGTTCGCGTTGACCCCCGCGATCCGCTGCGTCACTGCGCCCATTCTCCTCGACAGCCGCTGCCTCACCAGCGCGCGGATCGCTGCAGCAGAGGAGACGCTGGCGGAAATAACCCCAGAAGGCCTGGCAGCAACCCCCGCGCCGACTATTCCCGCCAGGTCCTTGTTGAGCACGTCGACGCTCGCCCTGATGGCGGAAATGTTGGATTTGATCGCCCCGATCTGAGCGTTGAGGTGAGCGTTAAGGGCTGATGTGATGTTGGCAGCTGAGATATTCGCTGCTGAGATGAGATTTGACTTCAGCGTGGCGTTGAGATCGGCGAGGGTGCTGTTGAGCGTAGCGAGGTTGGCTTTTAGCGTGGATATCTGCGCATGGAGGGCGGCATCGGCGGCTGATGCGTTGCCGTTGAGGCTCGCCGCGACCTGCTCGAGGCGGCCCTTGAGAGCCGCGTCGAGGGACGCGACTTGGCCTCGCAACGACGACTCAAGATCCGCGAGGCTGGAGTTCAGGGACGCTGTGAGGTTGGATTTTAGCGCCGCGGCTGCGCTGGATGGCTTGAGGGCGGCTGGAAGGCGATTTGTGGGAAGAATGCCGCTGGGTAGGAACCTCGCCTCGGTTTGTAGTGCGAAAAGTGCTGAATTTGAATGGAACGTGGGAAAAGGAGATGGTTGTCAGATTTAGCTGAGGAGATTTTCATGCAAGGACGCAATCTGGATATTGAACAGATTCAAGGGACGGGACTCGGACTATGATGGTAATAGAATGGGACACGCCCAAATTGGGCAGGTCGCCAAGTGCTCACCTGTGGCGAAGAGTGCGAAGATCACGAGAGACGCAGCTGAATTCCGTGCCATTGAGAAACTAGTAGTGCGGCGAGCCGAACGGGAAAACGCCTCTTATCTTGTTGCTGAAGTTTCGTACTAAGTGGCGAATAAGCTTCGATAGGAGAGCTACTTCGTCGCTGAAATATTTTACTGGCTTTGAGTTCGAAGATTGCGGTGGATGCGCCGAGAAAATGGCAGCTGAGGAGCAGAATTTGCGAGCTGACGAGATGTTTGAGTTTGATGGGAAGAGAATTTCTGGGGTTGGATTTATAGCGCCTTGGCACGCTGAGAAAATGTTGCTCGGACCGCGGATTCCCGTGAATGGCTCCCAGGTTTTCGCCAGAGTCGCACGCGGAGACGAAGAGGAAAGGAAGGTGTTGGACATTGTTGACAGAGTGTTACGGCGAGGCGCAATCGGCGGCAAGCAGAGAACGCGCCAGAAGAAGAAAAAAACCGATCGGTGACTCGACTGAAGCTTGTTCGTTTGTACCTGCAGTTGTCAGCAAACAAGTATATTATTTTCTACCTGAAGCCTATTATCCATGTGAACTAGTGTTTACTTCAAGCGTTTCCATTAATCAATCTCGTTAATGATCTGGAGAAACGAGATCATTCCAGCTAAATAACACGTACTACCCAAAATCAATATCACCTCTCTAGCATGCTCCACATTCTAATCTCATCCACCCATCATCATCCTCCCTCTACAATCACCGTGACCCCGCCTTGGACTTGCTCATCTCCTCCAATTGCTCAATCAGCTTCCTCTCCTCACCCGACAGCGACTTCGGAATCTCCACTTGCACCTTCACCAGATGGTCCCCGCGCAAATTCGGCTTCCCAAGCACCGGCACCCCGCGCTTGGCCATCACAAGGGTGCTCCCAGGCTGCGTCCCGGCCGGAACCTTCAGATCCACCGGCCCATCCACCGTCCGGACCTGCTTAGTCGTGCCAAGGATCGCCTCTAGGTACGAGACCTTAAGGGTTTGTAGGATGTCGGCCCCCTTGCGCTCGAGCTCGCGGTCGGGGCGCACCGAGAGGAACACATAGAGGTCCCCCGGGGGGCCGCCTCTCAGCCCCGCGTCGCCCTCCCCCCTCACTCTCAGCCGGCTGCCGTTGTCCACTCCTGCTGGCACCTGGTAGGGGGAGAAGGGAGAACAAAGAACAAGTGATTGGCCGCCTGTTAGCCCTGTGTCACCCTCCCCCCTCACTCTCAGCCTGCTTCCGTTGTCCACTCCTGCTGGCACCTGGTGTGAGGGAGGAGGGAAGAGGAATGGGGGGGGAGGGAGAACATAATACCACAAGACAAAAAAAAAAAAAAAAAAAAAAAAAAAAAAAAAAAAAAAAAAAGAGCTGCTGGCGTATTTAAAAAAATGATGCCTTGAGCGTGCCCATGCACACTGTCGGTCCCACAGGGGGAGAAGATCTTGCACCCCAAGGAGCTTTGAGGCGCCTCAAGAAAAGCCCTTGCCCCTCCCCCTACCCATTGCACCTGGGAGTTCCAAAGGAAGACCAAGGTATCCTAACCCACCTTGAGAGTGACTTGCTTGGACTTGCGCACGCGCCCGCCGCCACTGCAGGTGGGGCAGGGAGTAGAAATTTCTCCACTCCCCCCGCACCGTGGGCACGTGGTGACCTGCTGGAACATGCCCAGGGGCGTGTTGGCTACGGACACCACCTGCCCCTGGCCGTTGCAGGAGGAGCAGGTGGTGGGCGTGGTGCCCGCCTTGGCGCCCGACCCCTTGCACGTGCCGCACGCCTCCATGCGCGACACGTCGATCTGCTTCTCCGAGCCGAACACCGCCTCCAGGAAATCAATGGTCAGGTCGTATCTGGGTGGGAGGGAGGGTGGAATGGGGAGGGAAACCATGGCATCCATGTTCCAACGGCCCACACCCCACATGCCCAACCAGAGTTTCACCCCTCATAACCCAATTTCATCGCATCTCACCTCGGGCAACGCGTCGAGACCCCATGCCTCCCATGCCTCCCATCCCCCTGATTCCGTCCGCACCGCGCATTCCACCCGCCTATACCCGAAGCCCATGCAACTTTGGCAAAAAAATCCCCAGCACCCGACAGAACTACATACCCTTCCACCGCATCTCACCTCTCGTCATCCCCTTGCACAGGGGCAGTGCGTCGAGACCCCATGCCGCCCATGCCGCCCATCCCTCCCATGCCGCCCATCCGCCCTCCAAAGAAGGTCTCAAACAGGTCAAAGGGATTGTTGAACTCCTGAAAGAGGGAGACAAAGGAGGGAGGGGAAGAGGAAGGGGGGAGGGGGGAGGGTGGGGAAGGGGGGAACAAGTGAGGGATGTAGGGTTACAACGTCTAGTTTTGAGGCGCCTCAAAACAATGAGGGATGTAGGGTTACAACGTCACATTCCGCCCATGCCGCCCATCCGTCCTCCAAAGAACGTCTCAAACAGGTCAAAGGGATTGCTGACCTCCTGAAAAGAAGAGAGGGAGGGGTGGTGTTGGTGGGGTGGAGGGGGGGCCGGGGGGTTGAGGGGGGGTTGGCTTCTGTGACAGCAGGAGGGAGGGCGGGAAGGTCGAGTGAGGGAGGGTGGGCAGGAGAGAGGAGTACATACAGGACAAGGAGACCAGGGGACCCATAGAAGCAAGGGGAGCAATAGAAGGGACGAGGGCGATAGACGAGAAGAGAGACGTACCGAGCCAGCGCCGCCCTTGACTCCCGCCTCTCCGAATCTGTCATACAACGAACGCTTCTCGTCGTCAGATAGCACCTGGTTGGGGTGGGAGATAGGGAGGGGGAAGGCGGGAGGGGGGGTTGGGGGGGGGGGGGGAGGGAGGCAGGATTGAGGGTCAGGAAAGGAGGGACTAAGAGAGAAGGCTGTACCACGCCAGCTCCGTCCTTGACTATCGTCTCGCCAAATCTGATGCAAAGATAATGCTTCTCATCGTTAGACACCACCTGGTGACACTGGGAAGGGGGGTGTGGGGCGGGAGGGGGAAGAGGGGGTGAGGGGGGGTTGTGGCGAGTGGGGCGAGGGGAGGGGAGTTTGGGTTTGTCTAGGGAGGAGGTCGAGGGGGAAGGGGTTGAGGTTGGAGGGGTTCACGGAAAGGTGTGGTCAGAAGAGGTTGACCAGAAGAGGTTGACTAGAAGAGGTTGAGGTCTTCTGAAGAAGAGGTTGACCTCTTCGGAAGAGGGGGACTAAAATACCTAAGATATACGTCTGCTTGACGAGGTTGACTCAAGCGTTCAGCAGGAGCATGTAATTCAGTGGCAAGCAGACGTACCTCATACGCGTTACTGATTTCCTTGAACTTGGTCTCAGCCTCTGGTGCCCTGTACAGGGAACGAGCAGAATCGGGAATAATACAGAAGAGCACGGGCTTCTGTTTACAGAAGAGCACGGGCTTCTGCAAACAGCGAAGCACGCAGTAGATGCATCATGGCTGTGCTGTAACGTGGCTTCGGTAGCCATAAGGGGTGAGTCGGTTTAGGAGGAGTCCCAAAAACCAACTTGCATCATGGCTGTGCTGTGAAGTGGCTTCGGTAGCCATGTGGGAGGGGACCGCCTGCCTTAACAAAAGAACACCTGGACACTCACTTGTTCACGTCAGGGTGATACTTGCGCGCCAAGCGCCGATACGCTGAGAAAGGGGGGCGAGAGGAGAACAGGACGGGGGGGGGAAGGGGGGGGAGGAAGGGGGGAAGGGGGGAAGTGAGCACGAAGAAGCGCGATTTATCGAACGAATGATGGGAAGGGCAAGAGAGAGAGAGAGAGAGCGTGAAGGTGGAAGATAAGTGTTTGTGCTTGGTTGATTGCTAGCCGCTCTTTATTTGTGACTTCTCCACTCCCAGCACCGAGTAGTGTGAGACGGGAGAAGTGAGCGATTTTTGAGTCGACTCAAAAATCACCAGCGCCGAGTAGTAGTGTGAGACGGGAGAAGCGAGCGCGAGCAGCAAGGAGTTTGTAATTGTGCTTGGGCGTGCGCTTGTGCTTGCTTACCACTCTTTATTTGTGACTTGTCCGCATTCTTCTCCACTCCCAGCACCGAATAGTAGTCCTGCAACGCAAGAAACGCAAGAAACGCGCATACAACACCCCTTATAACCTATCGCTCTTCTCCATTCTCCACACCAAGTAGCAGCCCTGCAAATACAGCGAAACCAGCATACAGACCTTTGCCTCTCACGGATCTAAGCACACAACATTTTCCTCACATTGGCACAATATTCACGTTTTCCACGTTCAAAGTATGTGCACTGTCTCGCACTAAGTCTTATCCCCGCGTTTCCACGTTTTTATCGGCGACATCTAGCTCATCACATTTCCAGACGTTTGCCTCATCGCGATACGAGCTCTGGCTCACCGCATATGCGTTAGAACCAAGGGCTTCCCCTTTCCGCAAAGCGACTGGATATGAGGTTTTTGTACAGACATCTCGAAACCAACCATCCGATACAAACCATGTCACCGCATCTAACCCCGACTCACCGCATCTGCGCGGACCACAAGGGCGTTCCCCCTCCGCCTTTCCCCCCCGCGACTGGAGGCGGAGAGAAAGGCGGCTCTGCTAGCGCCGTTGCCGCTGAAGAACGTCCCCTGAGACGACGCGTAGGCGATGGATGAGGGGCTGGTGACGGGGATACCCAAAAAGGGGGGCGGCGGAAGGAAGGAGAGGGGAGGGAGAAGAGTGGAGGGAATTCACAGACCCGGAGAAGTAGCCAAACTAAACTAAGGGGATCAGTAACCCTAGTCGCAAAACAAAACGAGCAACGGCTGTAAAGAGGGCATAAAACGGAAGCAGCACTCATGCGAAAAAAACGTACCCAGCATTGCAGTTTGCAACGAGCGGGGGGCCGAAGGGCATATTGAAGGAACGATAAGATCGAAACAACTTAGTGCTGGTACGATACCTTAAGTTTCGTCTCTCGGAACCAGACGATAGCGCCACGGTAGCGTGGAGCCGGGAAAGAGGCGAAGCCAGCGCTGCGGTCCCCATGATCAGCCGACGCTAAGAGTCTAAAAAACTCTATTGAAATGTCTGGCAGTAATGGCTGAGACGACGAGAAGATAAGCGGAGCTCACAAAACGTGTCCTGTTGGCTGGATAAAACGATTCCGCCGGAACGTCCTAAGGTGCCTGGATCAACTGCGTTCAGGCGGAAGGCTCTTGCCGCAGTCGCCAAAAAAAGCACAAGCAACGCGCGACGGGTTCTTTTATATGATTCAAGAAGCTGAAAGAAAATCTGTCGG